ATAAGATCAGCTGTTCATATCGCCTGCTGATATCTTTGCTCTTCGCCTGGCTCTCGTCATCTTCAACGGCCGTGTTGTGAATGGCATTTGCATTCTTATTGATTCTTATAGAAATCGGACGCATTGGATGATGCCACCGAAGGGAGTGAAGGTGGACTGTCAATAGACCACAACGATGAGGACGACGAAATCGAAGCTCATAATAAGGTTGTGGCAAGCGCATCTCCGGATAGCCACATGGACGAAGCGGATGAATCGAACGCGAATGAAAACGTTGCAGAGAATTCGAAAGCAGCCACCTTGCTACAAGAGGTTTCATCGTCTCAGGTTGGCACTATTCATATCAGCTTCATCCGGTTTATGAATATCTCGCGTATTCAGTGTGCGGACATGTAAACATATTGCTTCAACAGTGAATTGTTATTGAATCTGAGAATTTTGGTTGCTTACAGAAAATAGACGAATTTGTTCTATTGAATGATTTTTCTTTTGTGAAAAATCGCTTTGTATTTATCAGATCTGAACAAAACTGCATCTAACCTCCTTGAAATATTCATTGTTTTGCTTAACTTATGTAGAGATGTTTATCTGTTTGACCTTCCATTAGCCTCATTTATCCCTGGTACGCTGATTCAGCAATTGTTTCTGGCCAATAAACTGAATAATGCTGGGTTATTTCAGGAGGATTGCAAATCAGAGGTGCTGTCCTCAGTGATGAGAATGAGCTCAACTCCCGCAAACGATGCACAGACCACAACCGTTAGCACAACCGTATCGCCAGTGGCTCGAAACACTCCTTCGGCATCCGTCAAAGCGGTCACAACGGTCTCACCGAAATGTGAAACACGCCCATCGCTCACTTCAACGTCGGCTCTCTCGGGTTCCTCATCGTCCACATCCTCATCGACCAACCACCAGCGATCTCGTAAATCTAAGAATCGTCGCTTTGGAATACGCAAACCACCATCACGACTGAAACGTAAAGAAGTGGCCAAGCTACGTGAGATGAGCATGCGACTCGGTGGTGCACAGTACTTTAAGAAACGTGTTAATGAAACAGCACAATGCGAGGTTAGAGTTTCAGTTTGGAGTTGTTCGCGTTGTGCTTGTTTCAATAATCCTTCATTTCGTTAAGCATTTGTGAAACGATACAGCAACTATCCGGGAGAAAACGAATTAATTTAGTCGAGAAATTATTTTCGTTTTGGAAGAATACGAACGAACATTTTTCATTTCACTTAACAGTAGATAATAAGGAAGCCATGCAAAAGTGCAGCATGGAAATTTAATGCATTTACGCACTTACGAGAGCACAAACGTATGCCACTTCATTCGATAGCACTTCACCGCCTAATCATTCACCCATTCGTTGAAACTCGCCATCGAATCCCCGGCAATGCTTTTGGATTTAACAATGAATTTTTTAGAAATGCGGCGTGATAACGACGTCTCGTATGAGTGACCATGCTTATCGTCACATGGACGCGCAACTGTTCTTGTGTCCTCATTGCGATAATGTAAATTTTGCATTTTATATTCGTGGTGTTTGCTCAGAATCTATGCAAATTCTCAGTTAGAAACAATTTCATTGTATGAAACTAAATGCGTCTGAGATCAACTGTTCAGTGCATGTTTTTATTAATAGAATACTACTCATTCAGTATCATATTTGAAAGCGCTTTTCAAGTGTATATTTTTTTCGTCAGTTTGACTGAAATGCGCTATTGTATTTGTATGATTGAATTGTTGCTGATTGAATCTTGTGCGTCATCTTCAGGGAAGTCAATCGAGAGAGTTGGTCGTGCGTCATATGCGTGATATGCATAATTCAACAGAACACCCAATCGATGATCGACTCAAATATGCGGCTGAAATTAAGGAAATGATCCGACAGTGCTATCCAGCGTTCTTTATCGACGCACCGATCCCAACTGCGGCTGATATCGAGAAATTGTTCGTTCCTATTTTGATTGCATGATTGCATTATTTTTTGTCATTCAGCCATTGTTTTGTGTGATTAGTACACAGCACTTATAATGAGAATAACAAAGATGCTATACTAATGATAATTTTGATAAAATGTTCTGATGGCTGTGATTGCGATCATTTTCAGAAAGGCTAGCTTGGCGATGAATGGCTCGTGTAAAGAGGAAGTGGATGGTGGGCAAGAGGATGACGGCAATGAAGCTGAAGCCGATGAAGCTGAACATGATACCGAAGAGGTTAGTATTGTCCTGGTCGAGATTTTCAAAAACTTTTTGGAATGCAGCAAAATCGTTCGCTTCATCGTATCAATGCAAATACGGAGATAGCATCATTATATATCTTAACCTTATAGCGTGTAACCATAACTGATCGCGTAATTTGACTGCTCGTTGCGAAGTTATTCTTTCATTTTGTGTCATTCTTATATACACTGAGCGATTATTCTTCCGGGCGCATAGCATCGCACACTCTTTTAATTCAAAACCACCGCGGCGGTTCGTGTGTCTTCTGAGGAGTGAAGATATAAAAAGTGAACTGTAAACTCATCCACTGTCAGGATTTTCAGTCAGGTGACGAAGGTGATGATTCTGGATTACACGACGACGACGAAACGGGACATGACGAAGAGGATGGGATGAAAGACGATCAAATGGATGATGATCAGAACGGGACAGTTGAGGCTGAAGAGCTGGACGTGAAGAATACAACACCGTCGTCGAAAACAGCGAGTAGACGTGAGGATGAAGAGGAAATTGAGGCGGAAATGTGAAGAAAGAAGTTGAAATTGATTATGTTTGATATGTTGCAGTCAATTTGTAAAAATTTTGTGTTGTTTCTGATTGTATTATTGAGTAATTATGGTTATTCCGATCGAGCGATTTCATCTCACGAGCCGTTGACGTGCGACGTTATAGTTCAAACTTTATATCAAACATCTTGAAGGTTTCTGATAAGAAGTTGTACATTCGTNGCCGCCGTTAGTTTTCTGTATGAGCGAGAATAACTAGTCATCAATCAAGTAGCTTTTCTCGGCTCATAGCACTGACCAGATGAGCGATTGTTAAGTTTTGTGTCGTTTCTTTGTGAAAAAAATTTATTTGTTTTTGTCTGTGTGCTTGTTTTAAGATCGATCGGATTGTATCCATCACAGCTTTATACCTCCGAATTTGAGTTTTTGATCGTTTCATTAACACAATGTTACACTTGTTTCATTGATCAGTATTCAGATGCCGTTCTCACCGACCCGCACCAGTTCCGGAATATTTTGTGTTGTGTGTTTGATTATTTTCTTATGGTATGGTATCTTATGCAATCTATGTAATTGCTCCGAATCAGTCTATTTTAACGCTCAATTTCTAGTTGATTATTGTATCTTTGTTCCATTTCGTTTTTTTTCAAAACCTTTTAGGTTTTCGTTACCTATTTTCCAGCTGCTCATCTACTGACAATGAGAATGAGATCTTATTTCCTCCCTGAACTATCGCTGCAAGATTGTTCATAACATGAATGCTGGTCTATCAAATACAGTTCTACTGCTTACATTTCGTTGTTTATTTTTTAATTTCTCTCAAATTTTCGAGAATAATTTCACCACAAATATTCTATGGTTAAGATGGGTCTGCAACGCTGAATTTGTCTCTGAACAGTTTTTGTATATTTCTGAGTTTCAATCATTTCGTCGACTTCTTATTGCGCCGAACACAATTGCTTCAAATTGTTATTCTCCCGTTTGTCGTTCGTCGACATTTGTCTCAATTGTTGTTCGCTTTTGTTGCTCGTCTCGTTAGAATTAATTGTTTTCGTTTACTGCGTCGATTGTGTACTTTCATCATCAGTTTCATGTTTATGCCTAATGTAGTGCCCATTGTTGTTGAAATATTCAGATTTTTTTTTCGGCAATTTGTGGTCATTTTTCAAGTAATATGATTTCATATGCAAATATATTCATTGAATATGTATGTTTATATACAGGTGTTTGTATGTGGAGTAATGATCCGAAACACTTCGTCGTGTGCACAGACTGCCTTCTGTTATCGTTGTTTCGTTTCATGATGATGATGCTAATGTTATTTATGTATGATGTGTTTTAGACGTTTTTCATTCGATTCAATCATACAAACAAATACTCATTGATTTCGCATTAAACGTTGTGAACTAATCAAGCNGGTCGTATTGCAGAATAGTTGGCTTCTCAGGATGATTATTACGAGAATATAAGTTTTATTTGGCATATGCAATGTTTGAGTTAAGATCTACCTCTAGTGTAGGTCATTAGACTGTGAGACTGAGGTTCTGGAACCGAGTTGATGTAAAATCTAGTGATCTCAGCTTTAATATCTGGATTTCGTGAGTAGAGCTTCATCGATCTGCTGCTGAAGCTCATAGAGAATCAGAGCTGATTTCTCGCCCAACGTCGATACAATGTTGAAAGAGCTCATTATTGAATTTGAGGCTAGCTGTTAGCATTGAATCTCAATATCTACGGTTACTTTCGGTCGATTCTGTGATGATGTTCAGTCATTCTGGACTGGTATTGCTTAGTTGAGTTGTGAGCATGTGATTAGTCCAAGCATTCGCATGTTCATATTTCTGTTTATTGTTTTGTAGAATCCGAAAGAATTTGAATTATCCTCGTTCTCTGATGTTTTCTTTAGTCAAAATTATGACGTTCACTCACCGAAAACGGTTCCACCACCAATAAAACAGCCAAAAACATCTGCAAATTCCGATTGCTGTTCAAATTCACTGGTTTACGGAATGTTTCCGTATCAAACGAAATAGAATCAATATAATGATAAATGTGTGGGTTTATGCGCATATTGATAATGAATTAAGAGAAATGAATTACCTTGAGATGGTGGAGGCAAACCTACAGCGCCGCAAAATAAAGGAGGCATTATACATACATGACCTCCATCCGGATGTTAATGTCCGACAAGAAATGTCGGAGGCAATGAGATTTATCAATAGTCGTTCATCTTGAATGAAAGCTTCGGTTAACGTTGAAGATGATTTGTCGAGCATTAAGATCACACTAATCTATTACGTTCTCGGTTATTAATAATAATAATATTATCATCATAATAACAGCATGCTTCCTTGACTATCCAACATTACCCTTGCTTTTATGTAACATTCGAACGGTACTGAAGCCGGTGTGTTACACCGAAACGTTTACCAATTACCTAACCCTTGCTTTTCCAAAATTGTATTCCTCAATTCCCATTTCTGCCAATACTCTACTACTATTCAGCAACAGTGCGCATCCATCGGTCGAACCATCTCAAGGTAATTCATTTCTCTGAAATAGAATCACTCATCCAAATAATACGAAAACCTTAATGTTGTTTGCAACAAGGCGATTTTTCCCATCCGTCCCTAACGTTGTTACTTGCTTTCATAATCAGTGATCGCTTGTTCATAATGTGGCTGCTGATAACATGTTAAAGGAGGATATCGATTGCTTAAAACGTGTTCTTTGGCATTCGTTGTTTATTTATAAATATATGACTTTACATAAATACATATAACTATATATTCATTATCTATGTAAAAGCGAGAATGTATGATAGACGACGGCGTATTTCACTGAATACTAACCATCTCATTTTCAGTATAAATTTTGCTAGTGACGAAAGATTTCAAGAATTTCTTTCCGTAAAAATCCTATCAGTTCATCGTCAGACTGGCAGTCTCTGTTTGGAAAAAGTCAGCAACTGTGGTGATTCCGTAATATTTGCGGAAATCGCATTGTTAGTCAGCATCTTTAATTGAAAAATCACCACGTTTCATTTGATCAGAATACCTCATAGTAACTTAATCGTTAATCAGTTGAAGCATGTGCTTTTGGCTCACTTTTTTGACGAGCAATTTTTTGTATGTCAGTTCGTATTCGATTGTGTACTTTTGTTTTTCGTCGTAGCTGTAGAGGTATAAATAACAACCTGTAACTTAATTTTCGAATATGATATGAAAATTTGAGTGTTTTTGTTTAATTTTTCTCCATGAGTAGCTTTAATGAGCAGATCGTGTCGCGTGAATCAATTTTCATACAGTCAAGTTATCGTTTGCGAATTTGACTAAAATCTTTTTGCAGAGGTAATTGCAAACCACCAAATGCTCTCAAGTTTGAATTCGGCATTAGCTCGACTATCGTTGAGCGGTCAGACATCGACGTATGTTTCGAAAATGTTCGCGTCAGGACGATGGTGGCCACAACCTCAGTAAGTTTCTCTTGTTTGTTGCATTTCTTGAATGTTTGGTTGCTCGCATTCGGTCTGCAAATTGTGCTCGATATTCTCTTGTATTCAATGTCATTTTTATCTAACGACACGAATATGACTGATTGACCTCTTGCATTTATCTTAATATTGTTGCTTTTTTAAATGAATTGTTTCAATTGAGGATCGCTTGAGTGTTTTACAAGTAGCGAGTTTCTTCCCGACATTGAAATCATCAAACCTCTCATGTTCTTACCAAACACATTGTTCTGCGTTGAAAAAATTTCTGCCACTTCCAGTTATCCAGCGGAAATTTGTCCAGACAACAGGAGAATTCCGTTGAACTTTAATAACTGCATTGTTTTTTCTCTGAAATATTCTGTTTTGTTTGATACCTATTGCATTTGAACCCATCTCTGTGTTCCATTTGAACACGAGCGAATTACATTCTACTGAAGGCGCTGTTCGATGAGACGTTGAAATAATCTTCTGATCTGCCGAGTTTTCTTGTCAATACATTCTTGTCGCTGTTTTGTGAAAATTTTGTAGTGCTAAATGTTTTTCTGAGTGTTAGTTATGTTCGATGGTGCGGCTCGAGTCAGTTGTTGGCCTAAACTGAGGATACCTGTTACTCGTTTCGAAACAGTGAAAAAATTCGCCCTATATTCTGACTCGAATAAGATTAGATTTGTGGCATGGAAATATTTATCACGTTTCTGATCAAGCAATAGATTTCACGCAACATCAAAGATTATCACTTTGGGGCATGCCTTTCATTTGTTCTCATCTTTTGGCAGGAGTTTCCTTGAGCCAGTTATGCCGTGAGCTTCTCTGGATCTGCGATACTGATTCGAGCCGTGCATTTCAGGAGTGCAGTGAATTCGATACGCACTTTTAGTGGAAACTCGAATGGCACAACACTCACAAAAGACTCTGCGATCAAGAAAAATGCCTGTGAAAGTCAAATTTTGAGTGTCTCTCAAGACGCGAATGAATGCTCAATTGAGGAAACATGTTCAAACGTTGATCGCCGGAACAGCGAACCGGTTGACTTGGAGCTGTTTCGTGAGCAGGCCGCACCCGTCTACGCGCAGCCACGTGGCACCGGTCATAAGGTCTACAAGACGGAACGGGGTAAAAACGGTGAATTGCTAGCGGACTATGTGCTATTTGAAGACTCGATGAATAAAGCGAAAGTGACCTGGAATCAGTACTCGACGTTGAGCAGTGAGGAACGTGATATTTATATGGCGCATTTGAAGGCGTTGAGAACGCGACGACTTTGGTATAAAGATCCGAAGAGCGGATATCGTGTGATGTGCTCATCACAGTTGTTGTTGAATGGTAAATGTTGTGGCAACGGTTGTAGACATTGTCCGTATCAACACGAAAACGCGAAGCCTGAAATTAGAAAACGTCGAAAATGGAACGGCGCCTTCTATGTCTGATGATTCTCAAAGGTTTAGAGCTGATCACATCTGCGATCATGTTTGCTCGAATATGTATCCTATTAGGGGCCAAACATCGGCTTAGCAGCCAAAATTCTTCGTCTCTCGAATCAAGCACGTAACCAGGGAGCATGGAAAGATTTCGCTTTTTGAGAATATTCACTTGAAATGAGAAGAGAATCATTCCAACTCGAGGAGAATGTTCGCGGTGTTGGGGTTGACTAACTGTGATGTAGGAGGCATCTTTGGTTACGGGTGATTTCTCTTGTTTACATGTTTGAGGTGATATGAACCGATTGCTACTGATTTCTAAAGTTTCCGGTCTACATTTAGCGTTATCGTTGTTGTTCTTCGAATCTCTAAGGCACCAGATGAGCTTATCAAGCTAACAAATGGCAACTTAAACGAGACGAGTTGAGAGAATTTTTCATTTTTAAATTTTATTTTGTGAACAAAAAGAAATAATCGCGAATGTTTTTGTACTGATTGTGAGCGAGGAATT